TGTATAATTTACTGAATTTTTAATATAATTTTACTTTTTATTCTCACGCAGGCTCATCATTTCTGTAGTTACTGCAGCCTAGCTAATTAACACAGGGTTGGGAGAATGATTAAAGGAAGGCTCGGGTATCTGCATTGTTCTAGTTTAATTGCTGCTCAAGCAATGATTCAGTGTTGGTTTTGGCAGTTGAGCAGCATTTGTCTGGCACTGTGAAATTCCCTGTTTATGTCCTTGAGGCTCATCTCTTGTTGATGAGTAAAAGCATGCAGATGTGGAAAATTTTCAGTAGCATGCAGACTTGTGGACAGGATGGGTTCCGTCACATGCCTTACCATGCTTTGGTATGCTCAGGTGGTGCCCGCTGTAGCAGACCTGCCAGCTGGACCCTCCTCACCTGCGTAGACAGAATTGGGTCTCGTGGCTGATGCAGCGTGGGAGAAGAGGGGAGCAGGCTGAAAGGAGCTGCCCGCGCCGCAGGAGGGGCTCTATGCGCAGCAGGACAGCAGAGGACTTATTTCCTACACCTCCCCACTACCTAAAGAAAAGCCCTCTTGGTGTAAGTAACCCAGGTGGTACCTAACCCAGAACTGGATGTGAACCTGAAGCATGCATGAGTGGTAACTGGAGAGACCATGCAGATGACTGGAGAGGATAAAATAATCTGCAAATGCTCCTCGTAACAATTTATGAAGGCAAACAAAATTTGAGCAAACTGGTAATGGAACTTGGAAAGTGTTTGTGCTTCTGAGGGCACTGATAGGCCTTGATGGCCCTGAGCAGCCTCACCTGGGGCCTCCACCCACCCCTGCCCGGTCAGCTCAAGCTGAGTCCCTCAGTCCTGGCTATGCCCTGGGCTGGTGCTTGGCTCCTGGATGGGATCCTTCATGAAAGTACTTTATAGCTTGTGTCCAGCCCTGTTGCCTGGATGGACTTTGGACATATGCTGTAGCCTTGTCACTGGTCCTGTCTCTGGCCTTGTCTCCTTTTGCTCCTGGCTGGACTCCCAGGGTGTATCTGGGACTTCGGTTCACCGCTTGACTTTCCTGGGACCATTAGTGGTCGGTGTTGCCTTCATCCAGCTCTGCTAGCCATGTTCAGACCCCCACATGGCTGACCCTGCCAATGAGGGCACTGCCTGTGCTGAGACATCTCTCTGCTGGTGGCTCGTCTTGCTTTTGGATACCAAGTAAGGAGGTTTGAGTGCTTTTATTAT